CTGTGATTTTGATGGCACAAAAACCTGATTTAGTCCAGTTCAATTCTGTTTGGAAAAGTAGTCCCAGGTCATCAAACTGCCCTCGCATCGCAGAAAGCACCATAAAATGGAGGAGACCACAGGACAAGAAAGAACTACTTTTCTTTCTGTAGCCAACACACATTGAAGGTCACTATTCTGTGTTAACTTGAAAAGAGCAAAAGCACTGTTTAACACAGGCTGTCCAGACTCAATTTTAGAGATAGGAAACAGAAATTAGTCAAGTCCTCTAATTTACAGGTGGAAAAACTATTGTCCGAAAGTTTCTTTCAATGAGTCTGTTTTGAACATTTATTGTGAGATATTACCAAGATGCATGATTGTGTATCTCTTCAAGCCAGCATAATATTTATCACACATTATATTTCCTCAAGAAATTCTTAATGAGTAAGTAAATGAATGAATGAATTCACAGACTTGCCCCATGTTAGAAATTAGTAACTAGAAGAACTAGAGCTGGAACACCCGTCTCTTGATTTCCTGTTTACTACTTCTGGGTGAGATCAGAAACGCTTGAAAATAGCTAGGAAAACTCAAGCAGGTTTCTTAGATTAGCTTCTGAATCACTGATTTAAGCCCATGCAGAAAACACAAATGAAGCACTCTGCCTGACTGAAGGCTGTGCCATAGTGTCTCTGAATCAGTCCCTTCCTGGGTATGATGATGTCCCTACTAATGCCTTCTATAAAAGGGCTTTTACCTCCATTCACCTCTTAAACAGCTCCTCCTTCACCTCAGAGGGCCTCTTTCTTTCAAAGTCAAAGTATACAGAGGCCTCGGACCCAGAATTTTATCAGTCAGCCAGTATTAAAAGGTGTACAATGGATTAATGAGGCAAGAATTCTCTCATTTTCTCTTGAGGGACAAGAAAGAGAGGCAAATGTCATTACTTACAGGTATTGTGGCCCACGATGCTCAGAGAGTACTAAGTGTCTAAAATCCGTTTCTAAACACATTTCTCTTCTAGATATACATATTACTATTTTTTATTTTTTATTTTGAAAAAATGTTTGTGGGTACATAGTAGGTATATATATTTATGGGGTACCTAAGAAGTTTTGATACAGGAGTAGTCATCCCCTCAAGCATTTATCCTTTGAGTTACAAATAATTCAGTTACATTCCTTCAGTTATTTAAAAATACATAATTAAATTATTGTTGACTATAGTCATCCTATTGTGCTATCAAATAGTAGGTCTTATTCATTCTATGTTTTTTCTACCCATCATACTACTGTACTTACCAACTGTAAAAGCTCACCTGATGTGAAGCCCTTTCAGACACCATTCAGCCTTTCTCAACTCAGGTTTCTTATCTGAATTGTAAAATGGGAAATTGTTTGAGTGACTGTCTTCTCAATTCTCCAAAGATAGTACATAACGTGGATCATCCTCTGTTCTTAGGAAAGAAAGCGATCCATTATATGCAATGGATGCTGCAGGGCAGTAGGACTTACTTTCTCTGGAAAGCCTGGCTGAGAAACATGCCACGGTAATCCAATATACCTACAAATTGTGAACACATCACAATAGTTCTTACCACACACCCACAATTCCAAAAAAAGAAAAGTTGTCTTTTACAATCTCTTAACAATGAAAATGGCTGCATTACTTCCAAAATTTTTTCAGAGGAAAAAATTCATTTGTATTCATGTTATTAAAAGATATTTTTTTAATTTGGAAAGCATAACAGGAAGATTAGCAAATCTTTTTAGATATGTAAATTATAACTCACACAAAAATAGATTGCTGGTCTGTTTGCTATGAAGAATATTAAACGGATTTTGTAGGCACGTTAGACCAAACTGTATTCCTTTGAGGTATTTGGGAAGTTATTTCTAACTTTTCAGTTAAGCATCAAATAGTTTCAGACTATCACCGTCTTAGATGCCTGGGAGGATATGGCAAAGAAAAAGCACTTTGCATATTTTGCCAACAGACTGCTGATTTTTTTTTCTTTACTTACATTGATTTCTATCTCAGGCAAAACAAAAGTCACTGATTTGTCTCATATCATTTCATTTTGATCACTTGTTTACAATTGGAAAATCAGCTTATAGTTGGTAAAATAGAGCAGAGGCGGAGAAGGAATTAACATTTATAGAATGCCTGCTACGAGCTTGGCATAATGCTGCGTACTTTGCACATATAATCTCACCTAATCCCCAAGAGGTAAGTGGTTTTATCATTTCCCTTCTACAGATTAAAAAAGTGAGACTCTGATTCACACAGTCATTAGCAACACAGATTCAAACAAATTTCCACAATTCGTATGTTCAGAATTATTCCAGGAATCGGCACATCTTTCTCCAATGATGACTGAAAACTAAATTAGGACACTTTACTTATTTTTCAGTTTTTATCCCTTATTATTCAGCAGACAAATTCTCTGCCAAAATATGACCACATTTGACTTGCTTCCACATAAGATCAAAAGAAATGGGGATCAGTAAGATGAAGAAATGGAAATTCATGAGTGAAACTGTAAATTTGACCCTTTTGCCGTGACCAGTTCAGATGTGCAGTGTTCCCAAAGAGCCGCTGAGCTGTGTTCCACAAGAAAAGAAGGTCAAAAGTCAGAAGAACGGAGCACCCATGCCCTTAGAATACAGATACTGTATATAGAACATAGTTAGATGATTTAATTTTCTTCTTTTATTCTTAGCTTATGGTGAATATATCAGCTTGACTGAGAATTATTTTCATTCCTTCATTCATTTGAAAATTTTGTTTTTATTGATAGTCTTTAAGTAGGTTCATAGGAATTAAAAAACATGGGCTTATGTCTCAGCCAGCACAAATGCCTGGTGTTCACTCTTACACACAATTTAACCTCTAGAAAACCCACTGTCCCCTGCCTCTCACAGACTGCTTGGGTCTTACCCCTCCTTCTCAAGGAGTCTTACAGGAACTGCTACTAGAGAAGACAGAACAGTAGCTAAAGCATGTTCTTTTGTCTATAAGCACAATGCAGGGGCACTTTAAGAACAGGAGAGTCTTTCTGCTGAGCCTCTTTCAATAAAGCATTAATATTTATTAACTTGCACTCTGCTGTACAATGAATGTTTTATGATCAAAAACAAGAAGCAACAAAATGGAAATTTTAACCACAAGCAACCTACTCTTCCAGTGATAAGGAGCTCAGGATGGGGTTAGCAAACCGCTGTCTCTGTGTTTCGGGGGACTCTTATGCAATCATCTAGACAAAGGAGTCATTGATTACTGCTCCATGCAATTACAAGAGACAGTAATCAAAAAGTTATAGACTTCTTTTATCAATAAGAGCCAACTAAAATGAAGCTGTGAATTAACCTTAAATCAATGCTGCATTAACAAATTCTACATTAATGCTACATTGATAAATTAACATTATAGCAATACTACATTAAATTAATGCTACGTTAACAAAAAAGTCCTATATATTAATAGGACTAGGCTTTTTCAGAAGCTCAGAATTATATACATATTTTACATTTAAATTAGATCAATCCTTAAACAATTCAGAAAAGAAAGGATTTTTTTTTCAGTGTTGGACAAAAGCATGTCTGTCTCGTTTGCCTATTCATTCATTCAGTCATTCATTCATTCACTATTTATTAAGTACATTTTATTTGTCAGGCACATAGAAATGTGGGATTTTGAATCAGTTTCAAGGTCTAAAAAAATGACTTACATGAGTTCTTCACTATTGAGGACTGCCCTTATAAATCACTTTGTAATTCCTTTAACAAACTACTCAATCTTACTACAGCTTTTTATAGTGAGTTATTACATACTGAAAAAGAACAAGAGCATCTCGACTCTATAATTAATGTACACACTGCACAAAGGCACAAAAATAAAAATTCAGTAGCATTTCTTTCTTTCCTGTGAATTTTGATGATTCAGTACCGTGATAGCTGTACTGAGACCATGTAACAATTAGCCTGTTGAATATTCTCTTTCTATAATCTTGAGTGAAGTTCTTACCTAAATATTTTAGGAGTAGATTTCCAACCCATCATCTTATGTTTCCACTGGGTCTAAGCAGTGTGAGAAAGGAACATAAGCATAGATTTTTGGAATCAGGCAGACCTGGGTATGAATTCTGATTGTGTGTGTGGTAGACTCTCAGAAAAATTACTTTACCTCTCCATTTCTTGGTTTCTTCACCTACAAAATGAACACAAAAGCATCTACTTTGCAGGATCATCGCAAGGAATATAGATAATATGTATAGAGCAACTAACTCACAATAGGTATTGCTGTTCTTTCTATACAAAAAAAAAAAAAAAAAACTAAAAGGCCACACTGAAATTGCTCTATTTTAAGTAGTGTAATTCACCATGAAATTAACAACAAAAAAGGTAGAATGAGACAGAGTTGAACATTTTGGGCCTGATTCATATCTATCTCATGAGACAATTATTTTCTATTCAAGATTTCTGCCTAAATAAGGTATCTAGTAAGAACAATGCTGTTTTTAAATAAGAGACCTTCAAATTACTGAATGGGATTGACAGAAAGGATCACATTTCTCCTAGCTCCCCGCCACCGTCTCCAGAATTATAATTGTTCTGCTGTGCCTATTAATGTGTGGACATGATAAAGAAAGGAAAGAAACAAACTAACAAGATGGTAACATTATTTGGGGCTCATTAGCAAATAGAAGGTTGACTTCAAAATGAAACAACAAACAAACTGGCATGCCAGTTTTTTAGTACAGTGAGAGCACATCTCTATTTTCTGCCTCATTTCAGTAAGTAAATAAATACTCATTTAAGCACAGTCTTGCTTTGAATAACTTTTGCCATAAATCTTGCCTCTATCCAAAGCAATACTAAGAAGAAGATGTAGACTGTACTTTCACTGTACCACAGAACTGATGTTCTTTCTTTCTCTCTTTCCTCTGTCTGATTCTCCTTTTCGTGTCTTATGTTCTTTTTTTCTGATGTCTGCCTCTTCCGTTTGATACCCTGCAGGTTGTCCGGCCATATCAGACCATGTCCAATCCCATGAGCAAGCTCACTGTTCTCAATAGCATGCATTCCCACTTCATTCTGGCTGACAACGGGACCACTGGAAAATATGGAGCAGAGGTGAAACTTCGGAGACAACTGGAAAAGCATATTTCACTCCAGAAGATAAACACAAGTAAGTAGTGGTTGTTACCACTGGCATGCCTCGTACGAAGTGTGCTGAAAGTGAATAACTTTAAGTACACCATGCAGCAATGTAATAAAAACTTAAGCAAGTTTTAAACACGAACCATGATTTCTACTGAGCCGGAGCTTAGAATGAGAGGAAGTCATCCAGAGGAGAACAATTGGAGGCATAAGAAGTGATTACACAATTAGTGACTCCAGCTTCTGTATCGTGTGAAAAAGTCAACTCCATCTGGGGTATATGTATGCAGATAAGCTTTCTCTTCAAACTTTTCCTTCATCATCTGCATGGTACTCTAAGGAGAAAAGGCACCCTAGAGAAAATGCTTCTATTTATTAAGCTTTTTTTGGTGGCTAAACAGAAAAGCAAAAGAATCAGATTTTGATCTTAGCACCGATCTGGCTGTGCAAAGTCATTTCAAAGAAATTGAACATTCACTCTCTAAGCTAAAGCATCATGTGAAACTATCTCCATGAAATTTTAATTGTCTCAGTTTTAAGTATGTATTCATTGTCTCTAGATATATATGGATTTAGATATAGATAGATATATATGTGAACCACATAGTACATCGTTACACTAATATTATCTCTTAAGTGCATAAGAATCTCTATTTGCTGTATTTATTGTGTAAACATTTGTTTTAACTGTGAAAGGTAGCATCATCAAAACAGTAATGCTCCCCAGATCACTAAGTGGCTTGCATTTAAATGCGATTTAGGTATGAAAGCAATCTACTGTCCCGCCTCACAAAATAAAATTCAATTTGTTTTTATAAAGTAATAGGTGAGGCTGCATGGCAAGCTCAAACTTTGTGGTAATTAGATGTCCCATCAGGGAAACTTTGATCTAATTGATTGAAATTCCAAAGACTACAATTCCAAGGAGCAAAAGATTCCCTTTGACTAGATGAGTTTTCAGAGGTTCTGTGTACTGTGCTTCAACTTGTCCAAATCACTTTTCTCTTCTCTAGATTTTTCTCTGCACCTGCCCCAAATGGGTCTTCATTGCTGTAGCCACCTTCTTCCAAAAACTGGGATGTTAGCTTCATCAGACCACAACTTCTCCTTCCTACACTCTCTTTTCTGATCCCACCTTTTAGGGACTGCTACCATTTAAGTGTCATGTTTTGTGGTTTCATGTTTTTCACAGTGAAACCTGAAATAATAAATTTTGACCTAGGTCTGAAATAAAAATTATATTAGGAAATTTCCTTCCCCAACTGTCTTTGGAAAGAAGAAACCCAAGTGTTATTATCCCAAGGTGAATATCTTCTGGAAACAAAAAGAGTAGAAAAGACTAGAAAATATACGGAGACCAGCAGAGATCAAATGTAACAAAGCACTGTGATCAGTGGGTGGTAGGTTTTGCTGTAAATACTAAAATTGAGTTCCATTACAGTACTTGATAGAATGGGCAAATGTTATGTAATCAGTGATATCTATTTAGGTTTTTATAAGTGACAGCATGACTCTTTGTACGCCATCAGGTTAAGAATGAGAGCTTAAATAGGACTGAGCTGGAAGCTGAAGAGGATGAGAGCAAGGAAACAAGGAATAAATTCACGGTCAAGTTCAGTACTTGGTAATAAGTACTTGGTACTAAGTAATTGGTAATAAGACAAAATCGGTCCAGACAGGCAAAGCATGTCATTGTGGCAGGCCCTGGTGGCAGCTGGGCTGGTTAGCCAGTAGTGTGGGTAGCAGGCCTAGGTATGTATTTGTGTAAGTTATGCACCCAGCAAAGGGGATGGGAGCTGGACTTAAAATCCAGCCAGAGCCTAGGTTTTAGTCAAGCCTTGGTGCCTTCCAGAATGCCCCGAGGAAGGGGGTGCCTTTTTCTGATTGATCATCCCAGAGGGAGTGCCCTTTTGCAATGTACGTGCCTGGAGAGGTGCCTTTCTTCAGAAATGGCAGAGCTGCTGCGTGTATGGTTGGCACTGCAGGGGGGGCCCAGGGAGGCTCATGGACAGTGGCCGGGCCCCCCTGAGGAGCAGAAGCCAGCAGCATGGAGCTGAAGAGCAGGCCACAGTAGATGGTCAGCGTGTCAGGAATGCTGGAGGAGTCACCACCAGATAATACTAGTCTCTGGGTAGATCATCAGGGACACATCACATTCCATTTCTGGAAACACCAGACCTTTGCTAGATTATCAAGGCAGGTAGTGGCACATGGGCACATTGACAAGCAGGGACCCGTCAGGAGTCTAGAGTACAAAGGAGGGGAGAGGCACAGATCCGGGTACCACGGGACTTACTTTTGGGACTGTTTATATTTGTGGCTTCACAGATATTCACCACTTATATTTGTGGCTTCACAGAGGCCCACAGTCTCCTCTTCCAGTGAATATATTAATAATTAAATGGTAAGAGGAAAGTTATAAAAGCCCAAGAGAAATTCTGAAGTCACAGGAAGTGAAAAGGCCCAAGGTAAGGAATTTGTGCATGAGCTGTAGTGAATGTCAAGAGTTGGCTCCTATAGCAGTTCTATCCCTGAACTTAATAACGGTAGGGTGACCAACTTCTCTCGGTTTGCCTGGGACTTTGTTAGGTTTAGCAGCGAAAGTCCCAAATCCCTGGGCCCCCTCAGTCTGGGCAAACTGAGATAATGGGTCGCCCTACAAGTGAATGACTCAGAAGTCATTAGGTCAACTTCCCTCATTACTGTACTCAGCCCCCAAAGTCGGGCGGAGAGGCAAGCTCCTTAGAGGGTAGGGAGTGATCCAGGCTCTTTGAAATAGATAAAGCAGGACCTTTGAGGTCTCCATTCAGTTAACAGCAAAAAATGCTCACTGAAAACACAAAGGCCCTCCAGAACAGCACTGACAAAGACACAAAGACAGGCAAAAGTAGACCGGGTCTTAACATGAAAAGCAGTAGAAGAATACAAACCTTTAATGCAATCCTCAGTCAGCAATGTAGAATAGCAAATCTACTTTCTAACATGGACATTTTGTGGTTCTTCTTTTTAAAAATAAAATTTTATGGCTGGGCACAGTGGCTCACACCTGTAATCCCAGCACTTTGGGAGGCCAAGGCAGGTGGATCACGATGTCAGGAGTTCGAGACCAGCCTGGCCAACATGGTGAAACCCATCTCTACTAAAAATACAAAAATTAGCTGGGCATGGTGGCGGGCACCTGTAATCCCAGCTACACAGGAGGCTGAGGCAGGAGAATCGTTTGAACCCTGGAGGCGGAGGTTGCAGTGAGCCGAGATCGTGCCATTGCACTCCCGCCTGGGTGACAGAGTGAGACTCCATTTCAAAAAAATAATAAATAAATAAAAATAAATAAAATTTTATTCTATAAGTTTATCCTAATAATTCCATTTACTTTTTCATTTCCTGCTTCAGAAGTTTAGGAAATCTGATTTACAAATGTGGAATTCAATTTCCTGAAAATGAAACTCTATACCACAGTAACAGTGTCTACCACCTCTTACACTCAGGATGGCCCCAGGGAGGTCTGAACACCCCTCAGCATCTCCTTGCTAAAGTGCCATACCCCCTCATCACTTAGGGGTGACCTGCATACTGTAGTATCCTATCAACTAGCCTGTTTTGTTTTCTTACATAAATGGTGTAATCTTCTGAAGAATATTTCCCCTAAACATTAAGTGAATCCTGTTCAGGAGACTCATAAACCCTTTTTCATCAACATGACAATGATCACTGAAAACACACTCCAAGCCCCAGTGTTTGACCTTTTTCTCCTCACTCTGGCTTTCATTGTCCCTCCTCCCCCGTGCGTTCCTACAGCCAACAGTCAGGACTGAAGCATCATCATCAGTTAGCGACGGGCTTTGTTTATAAAAGAGAATCCTTTCAGACAGGAGCAGGTACCTGCCTCACAATGCTCTTTTATCTGCCGTATATAAACTTCAAATTTAATATGCAAGGAACAATTTCAGTCATTCCTTTAGTAAATAAATACTGAATTCCTATTATGTAGCAGTCATGGTTAAGGTCTAGAAAAGCAGCAATGAACAATTCATTGAGCTTACGTCAAGGGGGCAACCAGAGTCATAAGTAAGAAAACGACTAACTCTGTGGTGGCCGATAGTTTTTAAAAAGTGCTTTCGAGAAAAATAAAGCAGAGTAAGGCATCTGTCTGTGCACTTGTGTGCGTGCACATGTGTGTATTGAGAGGATGGTTTCCATTAGGTGATCAGGAATGGCCTCTCTGAGGAGCTATCATTTCTGCAACAACCTGAATGAAGTGAGCGGCCGGCTGTGAAAGAGCGTTCTCTGGAGAGTGAAAGCAGGAACTAAGCCACCAGGTGTTCAGTGAGGAGCAGGGAAAGCTTGGTAAAGAGTTGGAGCTTATTCTAACCAAGATTGGATCTGGGACATTACAGGATCTCTCTTAGTATTTAAAACATCACTCTGCTGTTGTATGTACAGATTAGATTGAGATAGAGAGCAAGATGAAAAACAAGGAAATGCCTTCAGGAGGCTATTGCAATAAGGCAGGTGAGAGGTAACTGGTTTGAAAAAGGATGGCAGCAGTGGAGGCAGTAGAAAGTGGTTGGATTTTGTGTGTGTGTGTGTGTATGTGTGTGTGTGTGTGTGTGTGTGTGTCTGCATGCGGTGCGCGGGAGCCCTGCAGGGGAAGCCCAGGGAGGCTCATGGACAGCAGCCTAGCCTCCGTGAGGAGAAGAGCCTAGCAGTGCAGAGCTGAAGAACAGGCCATGGCAGATGGTCAGGATGCCAGAGATGCTGGAGAATCCACCATCAGATGCCAGTTTTTGGGTAGATTGTCAGGGACACATCACATCCCATGCATGAAAACACCGGTCCCTTGCTAGATTATCAAGGCAGATAGTGACACATGGGCACATTGACAAGCAAGTACGCAGTCAGGGAGAAGTCTGGGGTACAAAGTAGGAGAGAGGCACAGACCCAGATACCAGGGGACTTACTTTGCGGAACACACATACACACAGTCACACACACACACAGAAGACAAAGCTTTGTTTTTGAAATTGT